GGGTTGGTGTTGGATTGTGACGGCGCTGTTTGGTAGATAGCATTGCTTTGCGCTGGTATTACTTGGCTGCTATTGATGGATCAAAGTAAATATGTCTCAGGTTGTGTTCTCTTTTTTATTTGTGTTTTCTTCTTCTTCTTCGTTTTTGTTGGCAAATTTCAAGAAAATTGAAATTGTACAATTAGTAATTAAGTTTAAACAGACGGGGAATGTTGTATTTCAGTTCGCCGGAAATCAAGCGGTCGTTTGTTAGTGCATCATAAGTAATATTTTCGTTGTTGGCAACTTAACGTTAGGACCAAAAATAGAAAAAAAAAAGAAAAACAAAATAAACGAATAAATAAATAAATAAATAAATTTTATTTGTGTAGTATGGCAACAAATTGTTGAAACAAGTTAAAATGAAAATAGATTTTGTGCTCATGTTAAATAACATTTTCAAATGTGATAAAATGCACAACATAATCTTATGGTTAATTTTCCTCAGAGCTTTTGCAAGTCATGCAAATGCCAAAACCATTCTACCTCAAGGTCATTTGAAACCCAAAGTTATTGACGACAGCAATGAAGATTTAAACCCAACAAATGTAACACATCACTATCCCCTCCTGCCCAGCTCAACTACGCCGGCCATTAATCGATTCGGGTTTTGTGAGGAGGAACAATATTTCTATGAATTTATAACGGACAACAATCAAACCCAAATGTTGTGGGTAACATGGAATCTAACCAAAGTGGGTGAGAACGCCGTCTTGCCCAACATGTGTTCGGCCCAGACCGGTTTGCCGTTACGCAGACGTTGTTACCTCTCGGCCACATTGCATCAAGCTGTGTGGGAAGCTCAAACCAACAACACTGTGATGATACAATGCCATAACAGCATGTTTTGTGAGGCCGAAGAATTCCGGCATCATTTCATACACGGCGAAGGTCTGGAACAACACGTTAACAGCTGGAAACGAACAAAAATCTATCAGAAATCCACTCTGCAAGACATGTGTCTGCGGCCTAATGGTCTGCCATTGACGCGACGTTGTTTGTATGATAAAAAAAGCCACCGAGCACAGTGGGAACCTTTGCCGGCCAGCTATGTAAACTACAAATGTCTGCGAACAACGGAACAACAGATCATCAGCAACGAATTAGATTCTCTACTGGGCAATGTAACCAGCCGACATCGAATAAACGATCCCAAGCTTCGTCTGCAGTCATCGCGTAATCTCATCAAAATCCTAGAATCGCCCTCCAAACGTCGTCTGCCGGCCGATATTCATTTGACAAATGAAATTCTCAGAAGTCTTATTGCCGAAACACCAGATATTGAACTTTCCTCGGATGTCCTACAGATCACCCACAATTTAATGACCAGTGATCCCACCGTGCTCCGCATGTCTGCCGAATTAAATGCCACAAATTCTTTGCTCGATACCTTTGAGTCATACATGGATTCCGTCGGAGATAAGTTTGTGTCCGAAGCCCATTGCCGCAATCCAGCAATCGTTTACGCCACACATAATACCACCACCAGCACTGATAACACCTTATCACCACCACCAACAACGCTGCCGGCAGTGGAAGTACTCAATTCACACCTTCACAACGGCATCTACGCCCATATCAGCGGAAATATAAGCGTCTTCTTTGTCAACCCCTTGTGTGCCAACATTTCAGGCATTGCCATATATCCATCGAAAGTGTCTGCGTCACATTCCAAAGAACTCAACTATGATTCATTCAACGATTTCCATTATCGTTTCATTTTCATGAATGAAACGGTTAATGGTCTTCTGAATGACCCCGACTTGGAATTGGCTTCCTTTGTACCGTTGAGCATGTGGCAACATTTGTTGCAACATTTCTCGTTGTTGCAACGTTCACCAGTCATTGTCTTTAAGGTCTATGCCCACGATGGTCTCTTTGTGGAGTCAAATACGATGCGTGTGCGAAAGCCTTTTAGTAAAATCTTATCAATTTCAATACCAGGCTATGAAGGTGAGTTTTACACAAAGATTTATTTTTAAGAATGACTGCTCTATGTATAGTCAGAATTTTTAATCATTTGACCCTATAGAAGGTTTGGAGTGAAAAAAAAAGTATAATAATATTTATGAACAATAGGAAGTAAAATATAGATTAAATGTAATTTATTTACTAAATACTAGGGACCTCTCCTCTCCGAAATTAGGGACCCTGTATCGTAGTATTGAGCGGACCGGTCGGGAACGAATTCCGAATTAATTTATTGTGTGCAAGATGACGATTCTCCTCTAAGAAATTGGAAAGCTTAAATCAGTTTACAGTAGTCTCGAATCATAAAAAAGTCAAGAACCCGAATGCACCAAATTTTAAATTTTGCGCTGCAATTTTTTCTTCAAATATCAAATTTTAATATTTCAACAAAGCAGAGAATGTGGAATTATTTAATTATTTATTTATTCTGTTATACCTTCAGCCATACGGCTAGTTAGGTATATATCATTTGATATATACCCAAACCTGCCTCATTGAAATGACGTGTTTAGACGCTAAGTCCCTTTTGCCCAAATCAATTTCAGGACATTTCGAGTCGATTTAGAGATGTCCGTCCGTCTGGCTGGCACTATAACTCTCACAAGGATTATCCGATTTGGTCCAAACTTGGTACATCGTAATATATTTGACAAAATTTTGAGTAATTACAACTCTGACCCCCATAAAGGGTAAACATTTTAAATACCCATGAAGCTCATAAAATGAGAAATTAACATCCGACTTGGCACATCTCAATATTTCTACCAACACAAGATCTGCTGTGAAGATGGGATATATCGGTCCACTCCTTCTGGTATCTTCACCACAAAGGGTCAAAATTTTGGAATAACCAAGAAGCTTATAAAACGCGAAATCTCTCTCTCAACTATTATTCTTTCCTTAATAACCTGAAAGAAATCAGCAGAACCGAGAAATACAATACATAGTCATGTACTTTGTTGAAGTCCTGTTGAAATGTGCAAGGTCTGCGGCCAAAATGTTTGCGTGCCCAAGGCCTTAAAACAGCCTCCAGAATATTTTCGCGATAAAACTCGGCATTTATTCTGATGTCACGGTCGATTAATACAAGCCGAGAAAGATCATTGGCCTTGGCCGCCACATCATCACCATGGCCGGCGCTTGAGTTCTGGTGGCCAACCGAATGTGCACATATTCAGCTGACCTCTTTGGCAAGAAAACACCAAAATTTAGTTTGTTTACAAACTGCTGAACAACGAATATTTTCTCATCGAAGAAAACCAAATTCGGCAGTTCACCACTTTCGGCCAAGCGAAGCAACTCTTTAGCCCTTTTGAGTTTCCTTTTTATACCCTACACCACAAGGTGGTCAGGGTATTATGTATTTGTGCATTTGTTTGTAACAGGCAAAAGGAAACGAGATAAACCCATAGTTCCTTTTGATCATCTGCATAGAATAATATTCTGTCAAATGTCAAATTTGGAGAAGATCGGTTCAGATATAGCTCCCATATATATTGTTCATCCGATTTGTTTTATTTGTTATCCACAGCCGTAATATGCACCCCGTAACAACGATATTCAGGGAAATATATGAAATATAGCTCAGAAATATTCTTGCCAAATTTTATCGAGATCGGTTCAGATTTGGATATAGCTCCCATGTATATCAAATGGGCAATACAAGTCCGAATTTAAAAGATACAAATGCTTCGGCATATTTAGTCTTTTTAATTTTAAGTTATAATTATAATCATAGCGTGTATGATTGAATCCTCCCATAAAAACTTTTAATTGTTATGTGGAGCTCTACTAAATTAGCAAAGTGGTGTAGGGTATCATAAAGTCGGCCCCGTCCGACTTTAAGACTTTCTTTACTGGTTTTTAAGTGGCGGTGTAAGTTCTTGCACTTTTTGGAATTGCAATGGCTTTACCCCGAGCTCATGTTTCAACATTTGGAAGAGTGGCTTAGAAATGACAGCAGTCTGAAGTTGGTTGCAGTTTTTTAAAGAAAGAGATGTTATCGCTCAAAAACGATTGGACGGATTTTGACAATTTCAATTCAGAACGGCTTTGAGGCATAAAAGAATAAAAACTATGTACTAAATATGATAATGTGAATACTTTCCAATAAATGATTTTTTTTTTTTGTCATAGTTTTTATCACATAAAATTGTGACCCGTAGCGTGATAACAATTTAACGTTGACATACGGACGGACATACATAGCTAGATCGCCTCAGCTCGGCGAGATATGAATGTCTTTATTTGGTTTCCCATGTCTTGGACCAATATTTCCAGGTGTTACCTAACTTTGTCATAAGCTGTGGAACCCATTCATTTAGGAAATTTGAAACAATACTGGTGAATAATACTTCTAAAATCATCAAAATACTGAATATTGGGACAAATCGTTATAAGGGAGCTATACGAAGACGAGAATCTGCATACGCAATTTTTTGTTATAGGTTGTAGTAACAATTACGATTTTTAAATACAAAATTTGAAACAATTACGGTAAAAAAAATTGCTACAATCATCAAAATACCGGATATTGGAAGGTACCGTTTTATGGGGCTCGACATGGACCTGCATAGACACTTTTTTGTCATACATTGTAGTACCCATTTCGAATTTATTCTACGTAATTCGAAACGGTCGCTGGTAAATATGGTCGCTCAAAATATATAGAAATATACGAAGACTTGGATCTGCATACGCGAGTTTTGTCATAGGCTGTAGTACCTACTACGAATTTTAAATACGAAATTTGAAATAATTCCGATAAAAAAAGTGTTGCTAAAATCATCAAAATACCTGCTATTGGAAAGTACCGTTGTATGGGGGCTATAACCTGGACCTACATGGTCCATTTACAAACATAATCTGCCAAATGGCAAAATACACGTGTGTGCTAAATTTTAGCATTCTCTCTCTGTTTGTTCGAAAAATAGCATAATTACAATTGACGGATATCGCTGATCAAGAATGAAACCCTGTGTTTTTATTACATAATCGACAAGCATCTTGCCTTTGTTATAAAAACAATTTTTATTTTTTATAGGTTGTTCTAGCTTTTTTATTGGCTGTTCTAGATTTAAGCTCAGCAACACTGCTGTGGCTAAATCGACTCAGCACCAGAATGCTAGTGTTTATGAAATGTGTGGAGCGATTTCTGAGATAATTGATATACAATCATTGAAAATTTTAAATAGGCTGACAATATTCAATCACCTTGTATATCCGTTCCGGTTTCTATCAAAAATCAGATTTGTCCAGGTTTACGGCTTTTTTGACGTCTGTATGATACGTCACAGCTTCTGATAGGCCATCAATGATAATTATTTTAGATCAAACTTAGATTTGACTTCTTTACTTATTTCATATATAAAATTTGAATGAACATGCAACATTTTTTTCTCCTTGCAGATGCGCTGCCAGAAAGTTTGCCATTTTTATTGCGACAACATGGAACATCCTTCGAATCTAATCCAAATTCCGGTTGTGGCTATTGGAATTATAGCACCTGGACAAGTGGTGGTGTTCAGACAACAAGCGAATCTCCAGGAGTCCATCGCCAGCCTCTTGTCTTGTGCTATACCAGTCATCTGACACAGTTCTCGTATTTAATCGGAGGAAGTTTCAAACAAAACGATCTAACCGATGAAATTCTAATAACATCTGTACATATGGAAGCCCTCGATATTATTTCACTGGTTGGATGTGCCCTCTCGCTGATGGGTTTAATGGGCATTTGGATAACGGCTTGTCTTTTCAAGAGTTGGCGAGCCCAAGCATCGAATAAGATTCTGCTGAACATGTGTGTCGCCCTGACCTTACAAATGGTACTCTTCTTGTTTGTCAACACCGACGATATATCCGAGACATTGGTGGATGAACATGATTATACGAAATGTGTATTTCTGGGGGCCCTACTGCAATATTCGTTGTTGGTGTTGTTTACCTGGATGTTGTTGATAGCCTTCCTGCAATTCCAGCGCTATGTCACAGTTATTGGTATACAGCGACCAAAGCATTATATAGCAAAATCAGCTGTTCTGGCATGGGGTCTACCGCTGATACCCACGCTGCTGGTGGCCTTAATTGATCCCAAATCATATGTGCCCTCCACCTATCAGCTGGTCACCGACACGGGAATATGTTATCCCTCTGGCAGTGGTTTACATTTCGGAGTGATTTTACCTGTCTCCCTAATAGTGACGGCGAACTTGGCAATTTTCGTCTACGTTTTCTTCAGCATATCTCGCAGTCTCAGCATGGCGACGCAGCGCAGTGAAAAGAAATTGGTACTCAAACAAATTCGATTATCAATTCTATTGTTTTTCCTTCTGGGCTTATCATGGATATTCGGTATCTTTGCCTTTATGAAGATGGGTTTGGTATTCTCGTATCTATTCTGTCTGACAGCAACAATGCAGGGATTTGTTCTTTTCGTTTACTTTGTGATTTTGGATGAGAATTCACGTCGCTGTTGGCAACAGGTTTTGTGTCCCAATCGGGCGAAAAAGGCCCAGAAAAAAGCCACTGAATTACAATCAATGACCACAGCCTCAACATCGAATGGCATGGACTTGAGTCACACGGAGCAGTCGCATACCGGCAAGGTTGGGAACACCTAAAGGAGATGAGAATTTCGACTGATAGCTAGATCGATAAAGTTTTGACTAGCTAAACGAACAAAAGTGAACTGATTCGAAGAAAGCAAACAGATTAAGACTTAATGCCAGCAATTTTTCAAATATGCCTTTTTTGTATAAATTATGATATTGGATAATTTTTTTTTAAGAATTTGTATTTATAAGATGTAAATAAAAAAATATGAAAATATTAATGATATGTATTGTTTGTGGGCACGGAATAAAATGTTTTAGTTAGAAATAGTTTGACGTGGCGCCAGCAGCACATAAAGTAATGAAGTATCATCCGTTTACATCAAAATCTGTCATTCTGAAGTTAGCGGAGGAGGATATTAGTAATATCATTGCACAGTGGACCCACATCCAATTTTTTGCTCAAATATGTTAAACAGTTACCTCAATATCAAAATTCAGAATTTCATCTTTATACCTTCACCCAATATCAAATTTAGTAACATTTAGTACATATATCCAAAACAGTTTACATGTCTTCATTCCATGCACCAACAATGATCCAAAATTAGTATTAGTATATAAAAATTATATTTAGCATTTCCAAGCCACTGTCAAATTTCAAGCCCATAAACCATCAGTAAACTACATATGAAAATTCAGAATTTCATCTTTATCCCTGCCATCAATACCAAATATACAGGATGAGATAAAAAACTTGTAACCAAATGCAGACTGCTGTCATATCTTAGCCACTAGGCCGACAGCTGTTAAAATTATCCCAGTGACAGCTTATTATATTTTTTACAAGCGTACAAAAGCATTTTAGTGAGAATTTTCCAGAAAAAAAGTTATTCGTGATGGAATTTAAGCGTGATAGTGTGATTTTTTTTTATTTGGCTGGAAAACCTCAAGTGACTATCATTAGAGCACTCCAGCATTTAAATGTGAATAAATCTTTTGTGTCTCGTACCGTGATACTGGTAGCGTAACCCGACGTCAAGGAAGTGGACGGAAGAAAGAAATATCGAAACCCGCCTCGTAGTGGCCGAAAAATGGCTCGTGAGCTGAACATACCCCGATATTCCATTCGGGAAATATTGAAAAATGAGCTCGGGGTAAAGCGAATAGAATAGAAAATAGGCTCAAAAAAGCTAAAGACCTACTTCGCGAATGGAAAGCACTCGATGTCCAGCAGTTTGTAAAAAACAAACAAAATTATCGTGTTTACTTGCCAAAGAGGTTAGCTGAAAATGTGCACCATCGGTTGGTCACCAGAACTCAAGCGCCGGCCATGGTAGTGGTGTGGGCCGCCATCACAGCCGATGGCGCTCGCCGCTTATATTAATCGACCATGGCATCAGAATAAATGCCGAATAATATAGCAAAAATATTCTGGAGGGTGTATTTAAGTTTAGGGCACGCAAACATTTTGGCCGCAGACCTTGGACATTCCAACAGGACTCAGCCATCTCACCCAGCACGCGCCACCCAAGAATGGTTACAAGATGACGTTGCTCACTTCATTTCCAGCGCACAATGGCCATCAAAATCTTCGGATACCAATCCGTTGGACTATTGTGTCTGGGGTATTTTGGAAAGGAAGGTTGGCACTAAAAAAATACCAAAGTATCGATCCCGTCAAGAATGCGCTTCGACGCGAATGTGCCAAAATACCACAGAGCAACATTGGGACAGCGTGTGACGGTTTCGTTGGCCGTTTGAAAGCCATAATTCGTGCTAAAGTTGACCAATTCGAACAAATCTAAACTTATTCTAAAATTTGATGCTATTTCCGACATTTTTTGCTTTCATTGAATAAAATTAAAAAAACAAGTAAGCAAAGGCTACAGTCGAGCGGGGCCGACCGTTGAATACCCTACAACACTAGAATAAACGATACAGTTTATATAGGCGAGATACTCGAAAGAATTCCACAAGATATTGTGACAAATAATAAAAGAAAGCCATCAGGTTTCGTTCTCTAATTTTCGAATAATAGCAACTTAAACTAATTTGCTCATTTCCAATTTATTGGTAGATGTTGCACGTAAATGGTCTTCCTAGATCTGGAACCAATATTTCCCAAAGACCATTAATCTCGCAAAAGTGGCAAAAGATTAAAATTTATTATTGGTTTTTGACTGAAACGCATCTATGTGAGATACAGCCATTTGACTATATTCTTCAACTAAATCAGCGTTAACGAAATAGTCAGAAGTGCGTAATGGGCATTTTCGTATTTTGTCTACAAAAGTTGGCAAACTATTTCGCACATTGAATATTTTTGGATGGCCATCCAAAACTGCTTGGCTTTTGCAATGTCTGGTAACCCCCATTCAAATGTGCCTGAGGATCGGGCGATAATTACGACCTGCTGACAAATTTTGCAGTTTTTTGGTCCATTTCAACCCCTAAATATATGGCGATCATCTCCAAAAAGAGTAGGCTTCTATTCTGACCCTCATCTTATCCCCATGCAAAATTTCGTAAGAATCGGGCCATAAATCCGATCTGTATATGATATCCTGGTATCCTAACTACTTAGTTTTGTTAGCTGTAGAAATATTACCAAATGTTTAATTCAAAATGAAAATATGCCAAAAATATGACAAAATTGAAAAAATATGAAAAAAAATTTACAAAATCAATATTTTCATCTTTAGAGAGATATTTTTATGCGATTTTTTTAGAAGTTTTTTCTTTCCTGCCAAGAGGCCATTCTGAATTAATGAGAACTGTCGAAATCAGTTCAGCCGTTCTCGACATATAAGAGATTTTTCAAGCATATCTTCTTTGATAAACATATATATCGCACATATTTTGCTATATATCCGTTTTTTTGGATGTTAACATCAATGTAAAGATCAGAAGTAACCTTGTCATGGCTTTGTGATTTCGCCGGGATTTAAAATATTCGCGGTTTAATGAAAAATTTTGAATTTTTTCAACACAAAAGATATTGTCTATTTTACCCGCTAAATATTATCCGATGACCACCCAAATTGGTAGGCTTCTTCCCCGCCCTAAACTCTAGCTACATGCGAAGTTCCACGTCGATTGGTCTATAATTGCGACCTGTATAGCTACTGCAAAATCCGACATTTTTTCAGTTTTTGGTCCATTTCGACCCCTAAATATTATGCGATCATCTCCAAAAGAAATAGGGTTCTATTTTGACCCTAGCCCCACCTCCATTCTAAATTTCGTGAAGATCGGGCCATAATTGCGACCTGTAGAGTGATTACAAATTAACATGGACAGACGGACAGACGGACAGACGGACGGACGGACATACATAGCTAGATCGACTCAACTCGGCGAGCTAGGAAGATCCATATATACTTTCCTATGTGGGAAACCAATATTTCGAGGTGTTACATAATTTTTGGCCCAATCAAACTTATAATACCCCCAACACATAGTGTTGTAGGGTATAAAAACAAGTTAAAAATATCAGTCGGTTCTGCCGACAGACGTATACCCTCAGCCAATGTTTGATTATTTATATATATTTTGAAATCTGTTATGATTATTCAAACTCTTGACCCTCTATGGATTGGGTTCTGAAGGAATGGGAAAGTATTGTCCATTTCATATCGAACCTAATTAAATACCGTATAAATATTGCGACGTGATATGTTTGGTCTATATTGGCTTAACTTAATCATAAAATCCATATTCATCCCAAATTTCTGGTTGAGAGAAATATTTATATATAGCAAATTGTAAAGAATCGCTGATTTGTTTCGTAAGTTATGGCAGATAAAAGTATTGAAAATTATAAGCCTTTTTGGTGAGGTAACAGAAGGGTATATATATATATATATATATATATATATATATATATATATATATATATATATATGTATATATATATCATTTTCACAGCAGATCTTGTGTTGATGGAAATATTGTGATGTATCAAGCCTGAATAAAATCTTTTTCGCGTTCTATGAGTTTCATGGATACTCAAAATTTTGACGCTTTGTAGGGCAGGTACCAGAAGGAGTGGGCCGATATATCCCATATTCAAACCAGACCTTGGGCTATAAAAATATTGTGATGTGTGCAATTTGAAGACAACCGAATACACATTTCGGATTTGATTATAGTTTTGGTTATTCAAAATGTTAACCCTTTGGGGGGGAGTTACCAGAAGGAATGGTCCGATCTCAACCATCTTTATAACAGCTCTTGCGTTGATGGAAATATTGAGATGTGCCAAGTGTGAATGGAAGCGGGTGTTACTTTCGCGTTTTATGAGCTTCATGGATATTTAAATGTTGACACTTTGTGGGAGAGGTACCAGAAGAAGTGGGCCGATATATTCCGTCATAATACCAGACCGTGGGCTAATAAAATTATTGGGATGTGTGAAATTTGAAGACAATCGGACTTTTACATCGCATTTTATAAGAGTTGTAAATTTTGAACCATTGTGGGGGAGGTACTTAATAGAGTGGACCGATATTATCCGTTTTTACACCTGACCTAGCATTGACGCTAATGTTAGGATTTGCAAAGTGTTAGGATTTGCAAAGTCGTTTCTCTTTCTGTGCACAAAATATATTTTTTGAAAATTTCGATCTTTTGTGGGGAGGTACCAGAAGGAGTGGACCGATATTGCCCATCTCCGAACTCGATCTAAGTTTGACAATAATATTAATATGTACCAAGTTTAGATCAAATCGGATACATCCTTCGAGAGTTATCGTGCGCAATAGCCAACCAGACCGACTCACTGACGGACTGACATCGCTAGATCGACTCCAAATTTCTGAAACGAATTTGGTCCAAAGAGACCTAGGGTTTAAAACCGTAATTTCGATGAGACACGTTGTGTCCGTACCAAATTATATATACCCTCTCTAGCCATATGGCTGTGGATATAAAAATACATAGTACCCAGCGTACCACAGTATGATGTAGGGTATAAATTCCACTGAATAATAAATACACACATCACAGAAATATTTCGCGGTTTAATCGAAGAAATACTTTCAATTCACGATCAGTCTTTGTTTGAAATTAATTGCGACAAGAACGGAAACATGAGGTTACATCTGTTAATTCTACTGCTGAGCATTTTTACTGTTCTACGAGCTGAGCAATGGTGTCAAAAAGATATTTACCCAAGTCGGATACATACAACAAAGACCGAAATCGATGTTCTGGTCATGTGGAATCCCGCAAGAGTTGGTTCCTTAACACGACTCGAACTGTGTTCCAGTCGTAATGGTTTGCCCTTTGAAAGACATTGCTCGTGGCGTACGAGCCAAGCTGACAACGGTGCAGTGTGGGATGTTGTGGAGAAGGGCACGCAGTTTGTTAACTGTAGCTCGATTTATAACAATTGTAAAAGCGATAGCTTCCAACATTATTACATCCACAAAAATAAACAGCATACGAAATTCACCAACAGATGGCATTCCGCAAAGATGGGTGAATTGGCTATTACCAACGAGCCATGTTTATTGGCAACAGGGTTGCCACTAGCCAAGCGTTGTGTTTACAATGCCCGCCAGTATTTGGCCGAGTGGGAGCGCAGCAAAGATGTGGAAAATGCCAAATGTCTACTGGAAATAAATGAAAACCTAATTACATTCGACCTATACAAGCTGTATAATGAAGCCAAGTCAGCTTTTGACACTAAAACTGCAATCGATGTTATTTCAAAAGTTCGAAATCTTTTGGCAAAATCCGGTACTGTACGAACCCCAGCAGATTTGGAAATCACCACTCAAATCCTATTCTCAATAACACAAAGGAATCCTAACATTGAACTTCTACAGAAAATTCAGGATATTGTAAATCAGTTGTTGGGCTCTCCTGAGTACATTGTTCAAGCTGCGCTAAAACTCAATACACCAAAGTCGCTGATCAATGCCATGGAAAATTACCACGATATCATTGCCCGCCGCATGTTTCAGGAACATAATTGTAATCTTGTACCGAACGGGGTCATCCATCATGCCACAAATTTAACAAGTGCTTTCTATGTGAATCCGGCGTGTTCGAAAATTACTGGCATTGCCGTGTACAGTACGTTAGCCCACCCTACTGCTGCCATGACCTATGACACGAACATTCAGGGTTATTTACGTTTTATACAAATGAATGAGTCATTGGATGATGTCGCTGCCGAGTCACATCTTCAAATGGCAGCATACATACCGCAAACCGCATGGGAAGCACTAATAAAAAATGACATTAAAAGAAACGAATTAGATGTTATACGAATACTGTTATATAAAAATGGAAATTTTTTCATCGATCGCAGAGCATCGAATGGGTATCAAGTGGACACCCCAGTTTTGTCAATTTCAGTGCCTGGACATAAAGGTAGGTTGGGTAATTTAAACGTTGATTTGTGTTTAATTCATGAAAAGTTAGGGGGAAACATTATCACATACCTTACTTTGATGGATTTTACAGTGACACAAAATTGATTCTCGCTGATGAATAATTCCTTTTGGGGATGAGAGGTCCCCATTATAAAAATATATTTACTGCAAGCTTTGAAATAATTAGGCATTAATTAAAACATGTACGGGTTGCCCATATTCGACGGATCTTTGGGCCCATTCCAATCGACGAGGCAGCGATATTCTCGGCCGATCGCCTTGGTCGACTTTTTTTATGGCCTCTTCGGATTAGAAAGAGCCTTACCAGTCGAACATTTTTCGTATAAACGCTTAATGGTGTTCTTAGAAGGCGTACTTCTCACATTATTTTTTCACAATTGACTTCTTCTGTTGAATGTAAATCTCAACTATTTCAGAGCGCTCGAGTGGCTTGTATTGGTTCATGGTAAAAATCTGCTTGGACTGACGCTTCAAACGCGGTATGTCATTAAGCGATGTGACATCTCTGTCAAAAGTTATGGCGTTGCCAGATGGGTCCGTCGAATATGGACAACCCTGTAAGCAAAGGCTATCGTCAGGCGCAGCCGGCCAATGGATATCGGCGCGGTAAAGCCTCGGCAGATCGGTAACTCTTTTGACTATAATGATACTTCCCGCAACAGATAACCCCATATCTACTGTATAATAAAATCAAATATTGCTCCTCTTTTCGAATAATCATCATAGATCCAAAACTATTTTTTTTTTTCTAAAAAATACGATACCTACTTCAAAAACCTAATTCTCTCTTTCGGAAAGTATTTTTGATTTCTTTTATTTTGGTATATTTTCACACAAAATTGTAGACCATTGTTAACAGTTATATATTATTCGATGAGCTTTCGAAATGCTAGACATCTGCCCTATGCTAAACTCTAAACTTATGAAAAATCCTATATCTACCCACATGCAAAATTTCGTGAAGATCGGACTATGATCTTTTCGTGTATTTGTAATTTTGCTGGAATTAAAAATGTTCGCGGTTTAATGGTAGGATTCTGCCCTGCCCTAAATAATTGAGAGCTCTAGAGCAACTACAAAATCAAGTTTTTATACCCTACACCACATAGTTGTGTGGGCATTATGTCGTGGTGCATTTGTTTGTAACAGGAAGAAGGAAGCGAGATAGACCCATAGTGTGAATATTCATAGAATCACTTTCTGAGTCGATATATGAGCCGACTTCCACAAAATGGAAAAATGGAAACGTAGGTTCAAACGCATTCTAGTCGATTATTCGATGCACAAATTTATTTCCGATATTTATATATATATATATATATATATATATACTTATATATAAATATCGGAAATAAATTTGTGCATCGAATAATCGACTAGAATGCGTTTGGACCTAAGGAGGTTTTCCAATATACTATAGCCTGTATCTAGCTTGAGGGTTAAAATCTTAAGCCAAGAATTAAAAAAATAAATAACTTTGAGATGAAGATTTTCATAAAGACGATACCCGTGCCTTTTATTTTCATACCATCCACAATAGTATGGAGGATATATAAAGTTTGTCATTCCGTTTGTAACACCTTGAAATATACATTTTAGACTCCACAAAGGGTATATATATATATATATATATATATATATATATATATATATATATATATATATATATATATATATATATATATATTCTTGATCAGCATGAAATTCTATATCGATTAAGCAATGTCCGTCCGTCTATCCGTCTGTGGAAATCATTCTATTATATTTTCGGTATTTTGGTGATTTAAACGACATAACTTACCGGAAATGTTTCAAATTTGGTATTTGAAGTTCGTAATGGATACTATAGCCTATGACAGAAAATGGTTTGTGCAGGTCCACGTCTTTCTATAGCCCTCATATAACGGTACCTCCCGATATTTGGTATTTTTATGATCTTAGCGCATTATTCACCGGAATTGTTTCAAATTTGTTTTTTGAAGTTCGTAATAGATTCTACATCGTAAGACAGAAAATTGTCTGTGCGGGTCAACGTCTTCGCCACGCCCCCATATAATAGTACCTCCCTATATTCGGTATTTTGAAAATTTTACCTACATTCACCGATTTTTTTCAAGTTTTGCATTTGATCAAAGTTCGGCCCGGCCGAACTTACACCCTTTTTACTTGTTAGTTCTACTTTGATAATCTACTGTATTGTTTCTGTAATTCTTTTTATTTTCTCATTAAAAGACCATGAAATCGGCAACTGAAAATGTTTAAAGCAATCTTTTTGAGCCCTACAATGGATTTTAGAGATTTTTTTAATAGCTATATTACCGATTGTATTTACCATCTTATCGATTGTAATTAGTTTCTATAAATTACTAATCGTTTCCAGTATTTTCTTCTTTTTGCAGCTGATCTGTCCGAAAGTATACCCATTATCCTGCAATATCACAAAAACGATGACCAAGTGATTCCCAAATGTAGCTCCTTCATAGATGGAACGTGGATTAGCAACGCAGATGCCCAGCCACTCGATGGAAATCTTCTGCTTTGCAAAACCGTACATCTTAAACAATTGGCTGCTGTTCGAAGGGTGGAGCACCCATCGCCACAAATTCATCGAGCTGCTCTGCTAACCGTAATCAGTGACTCAACGGTTAATGTAATCTCTATTGTGGGCAGTGGTTTGTCGCTATTCGCTCTAGTCTGTATTTGGATGACGGCTTTGTGCTGCACTCATTGGCGTTCGCAAACCTCAAATCAGCTGCTACTGAATTTGTGTTTTGTTCTGACACTTATCATGGTCTATTTTCTGTTTATAAATATTTCAAGTGTGTGGGACGTTGTGGTCGACATCAGCAACAATTATCATTGTGTAGCCATGGGAGCGTTTTTGCAATACACCATTCTCGTGCTTCTGATGTGGATGCTGTTCATTGGGTTTTTCCAATATCAACGTTACAATGCCGTTGTGGGATCCATTAGAACCTCAAATTTTGTAGCCAAATATGCCCTGGCCGCTTGGGGTCTACCAATGGTGCCCATAGCATTGCTAATACTGTTCGATTCAAAATCATATGTACCACAGGGCGAAGACCCTATATGCTATCCCTCTGGCATTGGTTTTTATTTAACCGTAGTCTTGCCCATTTCTTGTCTAATTATATTGAATGTGGTCATTTTGATTTATATATTCTTCAAATTGAGAAAATCTTTGACGACATATCGGCACACCATCCATCGCCAACAGCTACGTGTCCAGATCCGTTTGTCCATATTTCTATTCATCCTGCTGGCCCTGTCATGGATATTCGGAATAATATCGCATCTCAATGATAGTTTGTTATTTTCATTTTTGTTCTGTCTGACTTCGACATTCCAAGGACTCATGTTGTTCGTGTATTTCGTGGTCGTCGACAAAAATGATCAATTTGCATGGGTGAGATGTTGCGTGCCAAAGGACTACTTTCCAAAAACGGATACAGTAATGTCACAATTGACCACGTTTGCGTCTGAATATTAAGAGATAATGCGTTTTTAGGTTTTGCGAAAAGTTGCATTATTATTAAGAGAATATCAAAATTTCGTGAAGGAATTTATAAATATATTTTTGTTTTGTATGTAAGATCATATTTAAAAATGCTTTGAAATCTTGTGTTTTTAAGATACCAAAATGTTTTGTCTAAACCTTAATAAAATGAGAAAGGGAAATATCATCGGCGGGTCTGAGCATGTAATAATCTACTAAGCCACTACTAAACTGTACAACACATAGTGTTGTAGGGTATAAAAACTTGAAAGTCTGAAAAGTACGATGTGTGAGCAATGAAAACTGTCCGTCTTGCTAAATGGTGCGCGTTATAGCTCCCGGGGATAGTATACGCTTTCGTCCAAAATCGAACTAATATTAATATTATTATCAAACATAGGTCAGGTACCCCCCGAAAAAAATCGTCCGATTTTAATCAAACTTAGCAAATCCTTATATTTGTATAAGTGATGGGTGAGGTGTAAAAAAGGACAGATATCTGGCCACCGCCAAAAAGGATCTCAATTTTGAATGAAACTTACACTTACGAAATTAAAAATAAATGCTCGCTTGACTTAAATTTTCACCCCTAGATATTTCATGAAGAAAATATATTTCGGAACATCCCTTTCGACACCTCCCTCTTAAAATATAAACATTTTAATTAACAATCAATCGCAAAAAATTAGAAACATGAAAATTTTGCACATATGTACAAAAAGTGTGGAAAAAATCAGTCACACCCAAGCGATACAAATTATTGAACTATATGAACTACGCACTAAACACCGTACACACACTAAATAGCATATAAAGCTTTCTAATAATCGTGGAAGTCACTTCCTATACAGTTATTGGAAGTGAAAAAAAAAAAATAATTTTATTCTTTTCTATACTTGTTATTGTAATTGGAACTTTCTGCAGGTATTCGCTGTTTTAGCCGCTCTTTCTTTCACCTTTTATGGTGCCATTTAGTAGTAACTCCGTGACAACAAATAGTAGACAACAGTAGTTTTGTTTTTGTAAATTTAAATACTCTCGGATTTATTATATTAGAAACGTCGCAGAAGTGGATACTCAAAGAGGGAGGCTTGAAGGGTAGTTCCACAAATGCATACAAACATCATCTTACCTCTCTTATGGCTACTAAACAATAAAGTAAATCGCATTCGTCAACCACATACAAATGCATTTAAATTACATACTCCAATCGAAACACTCGCGCAACCGATGCTCCAGTCGCAAACAAAAACAATAAGAACACTTTCTAAAAATATTGTTATGATGCTATTCACCTTGACGTATTGATTAACAAATTGTTATTTTCCACGACCTTTTTTTTGCTTATTAACTATGTAAATATTCACATGCTATTTTTTTTAATTTATACAAAACACTACTACAATTTACAACATCCTAGTTACAGTTTTTATTGCAATTTTATTGATTTATTGTGGAGCCAAACTAAAAACATACGAACGAATATGGAGACCGGCACAAACTAACTTCAATTTCAATGCGGAGAATCGAGGAATGAAGCCAAAGTGCCGTTATTTCTCTTTGCCTAGTTGAGAGAGCGAAGGAGTTTTTTTTATTTCCCATTGAAATTGCAATAATTAAGAGATTTTTCTCTTTCCCACTGAGAGTTCCGAATTTGGAGCATAAATCGATTCTCTTGCTCTCTGTTTTGAGTTCGTCAAACGGAATTCCGGAACGGAATTCCAAAATAATTTATAAAGCAAATGGATAAAAAATATTTGTATAAATAATGACTTAACACTGTTTTGTTTTTTGATTTAAATAAGCAAAGAGAAATTTGACTGAAGAGAGACACAAATATATACATATTTTATCTAACTCCAATGCAGATCTCTTCTCCCACGTCTGAAGAGTTCATAATAAGAGTTGAGAGCAAGAGAACCAAGTAATGCTCTCTTAAGATAGTTCTCTTAATTATTGCAATTCACAATGAGAAAAACTTTAACTCTCCCATATTGGCAAAGGTAAATAACAGCACATTTGTTACATTCATTCATTCTCGGCATTTAAATTGGAGTTTGTTTGTTAGTCTATAAATACATAAAAAAGTGAAGTAGAAACTATAATTAATGATATATATTGATTACAACATAGCAAATCCTATGAATGGTGTGTTGTAAAATCTAGTAGTTTTTTGTAAAAACTAAAAACAATAACATGTTGGTTTTAATTCAGACTTAAGAGTGTTATACCTAGCCCTTTGATGTTTAGTTATTATGCAAAAAAAGGTCTAATAAAAGAAAATTATGTTAATTTAAATATATTCAGAAATTGCGATTAATAGTAATACTGCATAGCATTTGATGTTCGTATTGTTTGCGACTTTGTTTCGATTGGAGTACAAAATTTAAATACATTTGTGTGGAGTTTTCAAATGCGATCAACTTTATTTTTTAGCATCCATTAGCAAGGTAAGTGATGTTTTAACGTTGATGATGTTTGTATGCCTTTGTGGCATAATTTTCCTGCAAATAATGCGACTACTCCAAACTCTCGTGTAAAATGTAGTTCATAACAGACCAGGACTAGACCGAAGCTAACCCAATTGCAATGAAAACAAAAAACCTAACCGATTTAACATTAGGGCCGGATCCTATAACACTGCTTTGAATTTCATCAAAGTAGTTTCAAAACTTCTCCACGTCTTCATTTTATGTACATCTGAGAGGTTTGTCTGCGAAAAACAATAACTTCAGAGGTGACAAAAGGGGTTGGTCCACCATATCTCATCTTCACACAGGTCGCCATTGTGGCCCGATCCTGACAAAATTTTGCATGGAAGTGGGATTAAGGTCAGAATAGAAGCCTATTGTTGGGGTAGAAGATCGCAAAATAATATATATAACATATAATATTACGCGAGAATATTTTTAAATCCAGTGAATTCACAAATACACGAAAATGTCACTGCCGACCCTTACATTGATGTTGATATCCAAAATATTCCATATATAGCAAGATATACATTTGTAATCACATTTTTATTTGTAATCACAACTATGATGCAAACCTCACGAAATTTTGCGATGAATCTGGGTTAGGGTCAAAATAAAAACGTTTAGGGCTTGAAATGGGCTAACAAGAGAATCACGAAATTTTGGAAGATGTACCCAAAATATTTAAAGACCAAATCTACAAATTATAGAAATAAAAATTAAGGAATGTTTCTGCAACGAATTTTTACTTATATCTCAAACAAAAAATATAAACAAAATTAGCTGAAACCCCATTTTAAACGAAAAATTGTTCAAACTAATCCATTTATGTTTGCTTATTGATGTTTCAAACATGGGAATGAGAGACACAAACGTTAACGCCACCATAGATTCTATTGTTGATACATACATACACTGGTGGCCAAAACTAAAGCAACTGAAATTACAAGGAGAATGAATGCCCTGTAACTTTTTCAAAAGTTAAGGAAATGAGAAAGTTTTTCTTGTTTTAAATTAGGTACTTCATTCACTTTTTAAAAACCTAAAACATAAAACCAAAATTCATTTTTATATAAAAAATAATGTTTGGTAAAGTCAATTAACCCGATTTTGGCTTGGACAAAACAAAAGCAACTCTGTTGTACATTCATATAACCGCTGCAATTTCAGTTGTTTTTACTGTGATACTTATCGCTTTTTACTTCCTTCGACAATTTCGCTTGTCATAAATCCTTTTTGAGAAGTTTTTTACAACAGTATGTGTTTTTCTTTTCGTTTTTTAAGTACTACCCAAAAAATTTTAAAAATGGCTAGAAGCAAATACAGTACCTGAATAAAACAGCAAATTATCAGTGACTATCAAAACAACATATCACAGAAAATGATTTCCGAGAAATATTTCATAAATATTTCTGTGATTTCATAATTATTTCTGTATACTAAGTCGGTTTTTTGAAACTGGATCAGTAGTAACAGTCTATAACGGATGAAGGCCGTGAAAAACTTCAGCCCGTACTGATCCACAAATTGTGAGAGAAATAAAAAACAACTATTTAAGAGTTCAACTGGATTGGTGAGAGAGCAACCATTGGATATAAGCTCGAGATCAGTGCGTAGACGAGTAGTGGCAGCTGGTCTGCATGCCCGTAAGACATCAAAAAAACCATTTATATCTGAAAAAATCAAAAAGGCTTTCGGAAACAATAATATAAGGTGGAATCAAGCTCAATGGAAAAAACTTTATTTCTGGGATGAGTCTACGTTTAATATTAAAGGCTCAGACGTGAAAAATTTTACGGTGAGAAGACCAAAAAATGAAGGACTCAAGCCGCAGTGTTGCAAAGGTACTGTGAAGCATGAGGGAGGGTCAAAAATGGCGTGGCGGTGTTTTTCTTTCTATGGACTTGGGCCTATCCATAAAATAAAGGAAATTGTGGATCGGTTTGTTTACAAAGATGTGTTGGACATCACGTTGTTCCCTTACGCTGAGTAAAATATTCGGCTGATTTGGGTGTTTCAGCATGACAATGATCCCAAACTTGTCAAATATTGGTTGCGGGAATCAAAAATTCATGTTTTGTTATGACCGGCACAATCACCTGACCTAAACTCCTTAGAAAACCTTTGGAGTATCGTAGATAGGAAGATCAAGAGAGATTCGGAAATAAATAAGCACAACATTTTCTAAAGAATTCGGGGTGCCTGGGAAAGCACACCCAAGGATCAAATTGAGCGTGTTATGGATTCAATGCCTCGTAGGTGTGCAGCTGCTATCAAAAATAATGGTTATGCTATCGACTACTAGCCAAAATTTAATTATTTTAAAATAAAATATCAAAAGTTGCTTTAGTTTTGACCAAGCAAAAATTGGATCATTTTAGTTTTCCACATATAATTTTTCGTTCAAAATTATTTTTGTATTTTTATTTTTAGTTTCTTAAAAGTGAATTAAACCCCTCATTTAAAACTGGAAAAATAATTACGATTTGTTTATTTTTGTAAAAGTTACAGGACATTTATTGTCTTTGCGATTTAAGTTGCTTTAGTTTTGGCCACCAGTGTACATACAAAGTATGTATGTCATTCAGACATATTTTAATAAAATTGATAAAAATTTTATCTAACTCCAAAACAAATCTCTTCTCCCCACATCATTGATTCTACAACAGCGCTGCTCAAGAAAAAATATCTCTCTAGTCAAATTTCTCTTTGCTTATTTAAATCAAGAACAAAACAGTGTTAATTCATTATTTATACAAATATTTTTAGCCATTTTCTTTATCAATTATTTTGGAAAGCATTCATGTATAAAAACAATTAAATGGAATCGTAAAATATAAAGAAAAACTACATATAAATTTTCTTTTAAATAAACCCTTTTTTCGGCTCATGTTCTAGAACACGGTTTTGAGCAGGGCTGTTCTACAACTTCCGTTTGACGAACTCAAAACAGAGAGCAAGAGAATCGATTTATGCTCCAAATTCGGAACTCTCAGTGGGAAAGAGAAAAATCTCTTAATTATTGCAATTTCAATGGGAAATAAAAAAACTCCTTCGCTCTCTCAACTAGGCAAAGGTAAATAACGGCACTTTGGCTTCATTCCTTGATTCTCCGCATTGAAATTGAAGTTAGTTTGTGCCGGTCTCCATATTCGTTCGTATGTTTTTAGTTTGGCTCCACAATAAATCAATAAAATTGCAATAAAAACTATAACTAGTGATAATTATAACTTTAAATATAAGGATGTTGTAAATTGTAGTAGTGTTTTGTATAAATTAAAAACAATAGCATGTGAATATTTACATAGTTAATAAGCAAAAAAAAGTCTTGGAAAATAACAATTTGTTAATCAATACGTCAAGTTGAATAGCATCATAACAATTATTTTTAGAAAATGTTCTTATTGTTTTTGTTTGCTACTGGAGCCCCGGTTGCGCGAGTGTTTCGATTGCAGTATGTAATTTAAATGTGTTTGTATGTGGTTGTCAAATGTGATCAACTTTATTGTTTAGTAGCCATAAGAGAGGTAAGTGGTATTTTCACTTTGATGATGTTTGTATGCATTTGTGGAACTACCTTGCAAGTACTTTAACCTTTAACTAGTGAGGTGCTATATTTTATGACGTGGTGGTAAATTTTACCCCTCTAAATTTTACAAAAAAAAAAAACTTTGTTAAAAATATTTTTGATGATTATTTCTAGTATAAGTATAAGATTGTATATTTCAAATTAGTACAACAATAATAAAATTACAATAAGTAAAAAAAAAATCATTTAAACAAAACTTTTATTCATCGCAAATTTCAAGAAAATGTGAAGGGAGGGTAAAATTTACCACCACCTCGGTAGTTAAAGGTTAAAGTGAGTTACTCACTCCCTCTCTAAGAATACACTTCTACTGTTGTCTACTTTCCTTTCTGGCGTTGGCGATTTTTATCCTTTTTTACACCTGACCCACCACTTATTTGCTGAGTTTTATTAAAATCTGACGATTTTTTCGGGGTGTACAGGAAGGAGTACTTCGGGCTTTACAATTTTTCGTGTTGAAGTTTACCGAGTAGAATATTAGTAAACCCATTCAATTTTTCTGACCAAACTCTAAACCCTACAAACCAACCTTGACCTCGATACCAAATTTCAGAATTCCTTCTCTATCCCAATACCTAATTCCAAATTTAGCGCAATTTAGTACTTTTCGAACAATTATAGTACGCATTTTCATAACTACCACCTCAACACCAGATGCGAGCAGAGACCTTAATATCAAAATTTGGTGTTCGAGCTCTATGTATGTCCACTCAATACCAAAGTTAGTTACATTTAGTACTTTTCGTGTAATTTTAGTGCTCAATCGTTCAACCGTTCCATATCTCAATCGTCGACACCAACAGTTATCGCAATACAAGAGTTTACGCTTTCAGCTCTATCCAAATTTAGTACCATTTACTACTTTTCGTCCAAAGTCCATTGCCATAATTTTCACTTTTTTTTAATTGTATTGAATGAAAGCAAAATATGTCGGAAATAGTAACAAATTTTAGAATAAGTTTATATTTGATAAAATGATAACAAAGGTTTTCACACAATGTATTTAATATAAATCCTAAATAATAGTTAATTGTCAATTTTCGCGGGTGGATTCTCGGTTACGCGAATATTTCAAGTGAAGGATGTAATGTATGCAGTTGTTAAATGCGATTAACTTTATTGTTTTGCAGTTATAAATGAGGAAGGTGGTGTTTTCACGTCTTTTAAAATGTTTCATGTAAATATGATTGTACTATTTTGGAAAATTGCAGTGCATGTACTCAATACTTTGTCTGCATAAAATTTTTTAAATAAATTAATTTTATTGATCTCCCTTTCTGCTAACAAAAGATCTGCTGTGAAGATGGGATACACCGGTCCACTCCTTTTGGCACCTCCCCCACAAAGGGTCAAAATTTTAAATATCTGTGAATCTTATTAAACGCAAAATTAATATCCGATTCCATTCAGACTTTGTACGTCTCAATATTTCCATCAACACAAGATCTGTTATAAATATGGTAGAGATCGAAAAATTTCTTCCTATACCTCACAAAAAAAGCAAAATAAGCAGCATTTTTGCTAATACATGATTTGTTGTGAAGATGACATATATCTGCGAACACCTTCTGGAATACCTAGGTTTCGGAAAGAGCCACCAATCCTCATCAGTTCCCTTGTTTTTAAGTGTGGTTGTAAGAATAAGAAAATTTCCAAGGGAATTTAAGTTTTATTTAATTGTTTGGTTCCTTTTCTATTGAGCTTACGATCTCGTCACTTGGGTAACAAATGTTTTTGGTCATAGAAGTAATTTTTAAAAAAAACTTCTGGGGAGAATATACCAGACAAAAAACAAACGGAATGACAAGTTTAATATACCCACCACACTATGGAGGAGGGCATAAAATGGTTGTCATACCCATAAAAATAATGCAATAATGTAACTTGACGGAGTAGAAGCGCTACCCTAGCTTTAAGTTAATTATAAAAATTCAATTTAGTATTTATACACATGACTATTTCCCTGAAGATAAAATTCATTGAATTTCGAAATATTGGAATATTAAAATAAATACAACAACAAAGACCTCAAACTCGAAAAACACTTGTTTCATTAAAATACTCGACAAAAATAGAATCTGCTCTGCTGACTTCGAGCGAATTTTACTCCTACTCAAAAGGTACAGCATTCTCAATTCCATATTTACTCGCTCAAATTCGTGGAGAGACTGAAATTTGGCCGAATGCAAAGCTCTGGTTCTGAGTGGGTTGAAATTGATAGGCATAATTTCAAAGAATAAAATACATTTTGTGACGTAGGATATCAATCATCACCATGCGTATAGAATCAAAATAACCTAATCAAGTCTGCCATGTTCGTGAATTGCGGTGAGGTGTAATAAAAATATCTTGAGTGGGTAATATCTTTATAAATCTAGAATAACGCTATGTAAAAATTAATCAGTCGCATTGAGCCTCTGGCAGTTATCACAACAAAGTTTTTTTATTTTTATCAAAATCTGAAAAAATGTCTTTATGGCTTTATATATTTGTAGTTGCCGCGGTGACTAACGTTCTGTCGAAGGAGTTTTGCGAAAAAAATATTTACCCTACTAGTTTCAGTACCAAACTACTAAATGACACAATTTCCAAAATAGACGTATTGGCAATTTGGTCTCCAACAATGGCGACGGAATCGTTTGTAGTCCAAGGTGTATGCTATTCGCTTACAGGACAGCCTTTGCAAGGGAAATGTATTGCTAAGAATTTACCTGTTGGTATGGAGTTGGTGGACTGTCTAAATATTCCAATGAATGGCTGTAAGGAAGAGACATTTGTGCATTTCTATGTGAAGAAGAACAATCGGCTGGTGAAACATACCAATAAGTGGCCATCCACGGCCCTCAATGAGTTGGCTAGGCCTTCAGATGTATGCTTGCTGTCAAATGGCGCCTCTTTAACTCGCAAGTGCAGTTACAACAGCCATAAGTACGAGGCCGAATGGCAGAGACTTGATGACAAAATCAAATGTTTAAACGTTACTAACCAAAATATCATAACCGCGGATCTGAATGTTCTTCTCAAAGAGGTAGAACACGAAAACAAATCATCGGCCATTGATAACGTTCATCAGCTGACTAATCTCTTATCGAGGCCAAACACGCAAAGAATAGCCAGCGATCTTGACATCTCGACGAATATACTGGAGATCTTAACCTTAAGCCATCGCACTCCGACCATGGCATCGAAACTGGCGGAAGTAACCAACATTATAATGCAATCGTCCCAGAATGCTGTTCTCAATTCCCGGGTCACAAATACACCGAACAAACTACTGCGCACAGTCGAGACCTATTTCGATGATATGACCGCAGTCTTTCAGCCCAACACATCGGATTGTTCGGACCTACCCGATGGTGTGAAGTATTTCATTGAAAACTCGACTAGTATTTTTTATATATATCCCATATGTTCGAATGTTTCCGGTATTGGTGTATATCGTCCCTCATCTGAGCCGGGCATACGCTACGACAATCACACAAACACCCATTTCAAGTATCTGTATTTGAACGAATCCTTGGAAGAGATTACTATGTCGCCGCATCTTATTGTTGCTGTACATGTTCCAGAGCTTGTATGGCAAGGCCTTCAAATGGAAACGGCCAAAGAAAAACGGAAATTTTTGGCAATGCGAATCTCTTTATATAAGAATCGGAATTTCTTTATAGGCCAAGATAACCGAATTCCCGACAATGTTGTGCTACGCATAGCCATACCGGGACACAAAGGTAAGAGAGGGAAGGGTAAGGTTGTATACACTTTTTTCATTCTGAACGACATGAAGAAGGACTCATTAGATATGGCAGTTTCTGTTTGCAAAGCTTTAGTCCCTTACGAAAATTTTTAACTTCCATTTTCGCGCGTACGATATCCCAAAATTTTTCTATAAAATCTACTTCTATATATTTTCATTTGCATAAAAAACGAGTTTTATGGCTTTCTTTTCGTTTCAGCTCAGTAGACCCCTTACATATTTACGTCTGTAACTCGTAACTCAAGTTTGCTTCTTTTTGACACCATAAAAAAAGGATCTCTCAAGAACCATGTTCGCAATTGGGATGGTGCTTGTTGGACTTTATTAATATAATCTGTGTCTCTCACGGACATTGAATACAATTTGAAAACCCCCATTTTTGGTACCTGATGATTTTTTTGGAATATTATTTAGACCTCCAAGAAAATTTCTTTAGAAACCATTTGATTAATGGACTTACACACAATTTTTCGTGCCGATAATATTTTAAAGTTTCCATGTGTAAAACCTAGGAGCCAACAGGATCTCAATATCAAATTTTCGAATTGCACCTCTAACCCTTTCCCCCAATACCAAATTTAGCTCGTATATCGATCTTCATCGTAGACGCCAACTGTAATCCAAAATTAGTACTAATAGTGACTACCTTATCAAATTTCAGGTTATTAGCTCCATCCCTTCACCCAATACCAAATTTAGAAGAATTTATTATTAGTCGAACCTCATATACCAACAGTGACCTTTATATCAAATATCAGGATTTCAGCCATTAACAAACTTAGTGTCATTTAGTGCAATTATTGTACGTATATCCAACTCCAGACGCCAACAGTGACAATGATATCAAATTTCAGATTTTTAGGTCTATTCCTTGAACCCCATGCCAAATTTAGTACTATTTAGTACTTTACGTTCAACAATTGTAATCATTTTTTTATATCAATCATTTCCGACATCACCTCCATATCAGAATTCCGGATATCAACCGAGAACTCAATATCAAACTCGAAGATTCCAGCCTTATGTAGTACCACGCAGTACTTCTTGTATAAATTTGGGACACATTTCCAAACCACCGCCAAATCTCAAACACAGGTACCAACAGAGACCTTAATTTAAAATTACAGAACATTATCTCTATCTATTTACCAAATTCCAAATAAAGTAGAATTCAGAACGTTTTAAAGAATTATAGGACACAATTACGAAACCTCATCCATATGTCCAGTCTACACCTGAACAGCGATTCTAAAACTAAACTTCAGACTTCAAGCACTATATATTTAAATCTAATACTAAATCGTTCTAAATATAGTACTATTTAGTACCTTTTGTGCACTTGTTTTACAGATTTCTAAAATCACCTTTTATCACAAACCTACCGCCGACAGAAACTCCAATACCAAAATTTTTAAATTCCAACCTCATCCGTTCAAACCAAACAAAATAGTTCCATATGTAGCCCCATTTAGTATAGTTCGCACACTTGGTACACATTTCCAAGACCAACTTACTTTCCAACCTTGATTCTAATACCTGATTTTAGTTTTTGGCTCTATCCCATAATACCCAATAGTACCATTTGAGAAGTTGTTATTGAATACAATTTAGAGTATTACCGCATTGGCTGGATAATTTAATATGAAATGTTAAATCCTGAATAACACCTCCTCCCAGAAGGACTTTCCCTTTCGGTCATATACTTTTGACTACAAACACATGGAGTCATGTCTTTAAACGATTGGAAATAAAACAAGTAAAAAACATTTAGTTCAGACGGGTCGAACTTTTATTACCCTCCACCAATTGGACGGAACTTGGAAATTTAAAAACCAGTAAAGAAAGTCTTAAAGTCGAGCGGGGCCGACTTTATGATACCATACACCACTTTGCTAATTAAGTAGAGCTCCACATAACAATTAAAAGTTTTTATGGGAGAATTCAATTATACACCCTCTGATTATAATTATAATTTAAAGTTCAAAGGACTAAATATTCCGAAGCATTTGTATCTTTTAAATTCGGACTTGTATTGCCCTTTTGGTGCACAATTAATTTGAAATCGGATAAAGATATATATGGGAGCTATATCCAAATCTGAACCGATCTCGATAAAATTTGGCAAAGGTATTTCTGAGCTGTATTTGATATCTTTCCCCAAATATTGTTGTTACAAAGTGCATATTACGGCGGCGGTGGACAAAAATAACAAATCGGATGAACAATATATATGGGAGCTATAGCTATATCTGAACCGATTTCGATCAAATTTGGCACACATATTTTCAGGCCTAATTTGGGTGTATATGCAAAATTCCATACAATTCGGGCTGATATTACACGTTTGGTGCACAATAAAAGGCAAATCGGACGAAGATATATATGGGAGCTATATCTAAAAAATAAATAGGGCTCGTCCTTGGGCCAAACAAAAGACCTTTGCAAAATTTCATCTGGATCGGACAATAAATGCGACCTGTACTTTGTTTACAAAAATACATGGACAGACGGACGGACGGACAGACGGGCGGACGGACATGCATAAACCGACTCAGAATGTGATTCTATGCAGATCATCAAAAGGAACTATGGGTCTATCTCGTTTCCTTCTGCCTGTTACAAACAAATGCACAAAGACATAATACCCTAACCACCTTGTGGTGTAGGGTATAAAAAAATCGGAAAATCACTACTTAATTGAAAACCGTTATATGGGGACTATACGAAGACGTGGATCTGCTTACGAAATTTTTTGTTATACGCTGTATTACCCATTACGAACTTCAAATACGAATATCGGGAGGTACCGTTATATGGCGGGCTATACGAAAACGTGGACCGTCATGGCCCATTTACGAACTTAACCTACCTTCGGGTATACTATGCATGTATGCAAAATTTAAGGCTTCTATCTCAATTCGTTCAAAAGATAGGTGATTACAACAGACATTGCTAGATCGTCTTAGAATTTTACGCGTATCCAGAATATATACTCTCTAGGGTCTATTATTGAATATTTTTATGTATATTTTTCCTTTTCAAGGTGGAGGGTATAAAAAAAACTATTAAAAATATCCTTCTTTACTTCCAGATGAAGTACCCGGTATTATACCATACATTTTCTACAATCCCGATGTTGACCAGCAGCAGCCAATGCAATGCGGCTCCTATAACTATGACAACTGGATATCTTCCGGAGGGAGTTATAAACGCTTTGATAATATCGCCGTGTGTGAAAAGAGAATTTTGGGCTTTGGCTCCTTGTTACGTCTGAAGCCAACATTGGTCAAGGCCACTGATGTGGAGATTCTTAGCATAATTATTGGCTATTCCCAAGATATTATCACAATATTTGGCTGCATTTTATCATTGTTTGGCTTGCTTGGAATTTGGCTGACAGCCCTTTGCTGCCGGCAGTGGCGGAGAGAATCTTCTAATCCACTGCTGTTAAACATTTGCTTAGTTCTCACTATGATCATGGCATATTTCCTGTTCATCAATTTGGGGGATATGCGTGAGTCCTTGCTGAAGCAGGATACAATTGGCTATTGCATGCTTGAGGGGGCTTTCTTGCAGTATTCGATTTTGGTCCTCTTCCTTTGGATGCTGATCATAGCCTACTTGCAGTACGTTCGTTATATCGCCGTTGTTCACAAGAAGTTGTCACGAATGCAGTGCATCAAATGTATACTGATCGCATGGGGTTTGCCGGTTGTGCCCACGCTGCTGGTTATACACTTCGATCCATTTGCATATATGCCACTGTCGGAGAATGGACTGGTGAGCAGCGATATTTGTTATCCCTCTGGCCGCAGCTTTTATTTCGGCATATTTATACCCATTTCAACGGTGGTTGTCGTAAATGTTGCCATATTTGTTTTCATCAGTTGCAGTCTTTGCTTCAAAAAGAACCCTCATTTACATAACAAGCAAGAACGCAAGAACTTCGTTGTCCGTCTGCGATTGACGATTTTGCTCTTCTTCTTATTGGGCATTTCGTGGCTGTTCGGCATCCTGGCCCACATGCAAGAGAATCAAGTGTTGTCTCTGCTGTTCTGTCTCACCTCAACGTTGCAGGGATTCGTGTTATTCTTCTTTTTTGTGGCATATGACAAAAATATTCGCAAATCGTGGCTGGTCTGTGCCTGTGGCAAAGATTACATCCTCGAGGATGATGTATCATCTCCCATGAATACGCTAAGATCAAATAACAATTGCGGTTAAATAAAAACCTAGCACAAAAGTATGCAGAAAAAATGTCTATTAATAAAAGAGTTGAGTGACTGAAGGAAAGATTGATTCATCAATGGCCAAGAAAAACGGCTGAAGCCAGCATCTGGGAATTTTGTATTGGGGAAAGAATAGAACTAGATTAAATAGATATAAAAATTTTGAACGAGATTTTCCAAAGGGTTTGATTTTTTGAAGATATTCGAACTTTAAGTGTACCAAAAGTACTTAGGCATTAATTTGGTACTACGATGTATTTTTTTAAGTGAGATTCAATGTTGTGATGTATGGCTGCTATAAGAAGGTGGTTTGGAAATGCATACAACAGTGTACATATATGTACAATATTGCTCTGGGTAAACTGATTTAAATGGAATTCTGAAATATAATATAAGGGTTACTGAAATTACTTACTTGTACTAAAGTGGGAATTCAACTGGAATTATGTATTTTGGTATTAGGATCACTGTGTGTTGGAAGCGCTTGATAGGAAGATGTGTTTGGAAATACGTATTGTAACGTGTACGAAAAGAACTAAATGGTATATAGTGTAAGAAGAGTAATGGATTTATGTGTTTCGGTCGTGGTCGTGGGCTTGGAAATCCGTACTATGTATGTACGAAAACAACCAAATGGTATAAAATTCTGGTATAGAGTGTAGAAATGAATTGGCCAGATAAGCATGTGATTACAACGGCTTTTTAAGAATAATCTATGAGACTGACTGACAGAGAATCAACAACCAGACTAAACGAATGAAGCTAAAATCTTGAAATTTTGCATAAGGTAAAGTCTTGGGGCGAAGGCGTGCGATGATTTTAGCCACACTTTTTAATGGAATTGTCTGAAATTCTACACAAGGAGTTCTTCGTGACTACTTTAACCCTTAAACAAGTTAAAAAGAAATAACTTCAGCCGGACCAAACTTTGAATAAAAAATAAAATACATAAAAAATTATGTTAAAATTTTAAAAATACCAAATATAGCCGTTATATTGGGGTCTATACGACGTGGACCTACATAGGCATTGTTTGTCATAAGCCATTACAATATTCAAATTCGAAACTTGAAATAAATGGTGAATAATGTAGCTAAAATCATTAAAATATCCGATATACCATTATATCGGAGCTTCGAAACTTGAAATAAATGGTGAATAATGTAGCTAAAATCATTAAAATATCCGATATACCATTATATCGGAGCTGTGCGAAGACCTGGACCTGCATAGACAATTTTCTGTCACAGACATCCATTACAAACTTCAAATACTACATCTCAAATAATTTCGGTGGGTATTGTACCTAAAATCGTCAAAATACCGAATATAGGGAGGAACTGATATATTGGGCCTATACGAAGACCTGGACCTGCATAAACAATTTTCTGTCTTAGGGTGTAGAACCCATTTCGAACTTCAAATACCAAATTTGAAACAATTCCGGTGAATAATGACGCTAAAATCATCAAAATACCGAATATTGGGAGGTACCGTTATAAGGGGGCTATACGAAGACGTGGACCTGCACAGACAATTTTCTGACATAGGTTGTAGTATCCATTACGAACTTCAAATACCAAATTTGAAATAATTCCGGTAAGTAATGTCGGTAAAGTCATCAAAATACCGATTATCGGGAGGTACGGTTATATGGGGGCTACATGGCCGATTGTCTGTCTTTGGCCGTAGTATCTATTACGAACTTTAAATACCATTTTTGAAACAACTCCGGTAAATAATGTCGCTAAAATCATCAAAATACCGCATATCGGGAGGTACCTTTATATGGGGGCTATGCGAAGACGTGGCCCATTTTCAATACCTGTCCTTCAGACATAATTTGAGTAAAATTTTATCGTTCGGAAGCTGGGGAGATTTCCACAGACGGATAGACTGACAGACGGGCGGACATTAATAAATCGACATAGAATTTTATTTTATATATATACTTTGTCTAAAATGTATATTTCGAGGTGCTACAAATGGAATCACAAACTTAATACACCCTCCATACTAAAGTAAAGGGTATAAAAAAATGTAAAAATTACGGCGTTTGACTTTGTTGCTGTTCTCTCACCCTGTAAATATATATACTTTAACTAACTTTAACTATCAAACAACCCTGCTAAAACCCGTGTACTACCACACCACAGCACTGCTATCAAAAGAGAGAATATAAATGTTTTATTTACTTATTTTTACATCACATGAAGTCGTATTTATATATTCATATTTTTACTGCGGTTAAAAATGATATATCGAAAAAAAATATACCCTGATTCTGTGGTTACGATGGTTACGATCATTTAAATATTTTTATAAAATTAAATGATCTCATTGCATTCGAAGTTAGTATAACACATTCTTGCAGTATATTTTTTCTACACAAAAGAGGCACAATGAATTTATTCTACCTAACAATACTATTATATTTCGAATTTGGCGAAAACTTCGTACAGCGAGGTATAGAAGAAGTCTTCACGAAAGTGTCACATTCATGCGAAAAAGAAAAGCGGTCATTTATCTGTGAGTCACAAAGTTTTGAAATATCTTATCTGTTGCTTAGAGATGGTCTAGCACAAAGGAAAACTAATAGCTGGCCGGCAGCAAGAACTGGTGAGCTAGTGAGACCAACGGAATTCTGCCTACTGCCGACAGGCCTGCCTTTGGTGCGGAAATGTAATTCGATCGAATGTACGGCAGAGTGGGAGGAAATGAATTATGGAAATGTAACATGCATTGGTTATGAGGACGACAAAAATGCTCTGACTTTTGAACTACAGAAACTCTATAAGGAAATAAGACACCTCCGATTTGATCGCATTTCTTTCGCAATCACTTCATATTTTCTAAATCTTTTAAATAGACGTTGTCTCAAACTTACTGCAGCAGATCTGGAAATATCATTGAGTTTGTTGCGAGTGATAACACGTTCACGGAATATTCAATTGCTTCCACAAATTGTGGAAATTGCCAATTTTCTGCTGCAAAGTGATAATGATGCCACAGCCAAATTTAGTCAGTTAAGCGGCACACCTGCTCTTCTTATAACTTTGGAAAACTACCTTATTCCAATGGCAAAATCGGTCTTACCTCCTCAAAACTGCCGCAGCAACTTTGCAGATGGGAAACACTTCGGCGCGGAAAACATTAAAGTGTTCTATACATGGCCCATGTGTTCCGATGTCACGGGAATTGTGGTGTATAAAAAATCACACATGCAGTCGTTGAAGAATGACGTAAATTATGACTTTCAATACATCTATCTGAATCAATCATTCAATGATCTTCTATTGCAATCAAATGTTGATGTAGTGGCATATGTTCCCCCGGAGTTGTGGAAGATGGCGAAAAAGAAAAGATTCCGCCTAAAGTTCTCATGGTACAAAAATTCAAATTTCTTCTTAAATCACACAGCCAGCGACGATCAGGAAATGGGAAGTGCTTTGCTACCCGCCATATGCAGTAACAAAGGTAATTTGAAAAGTAGAATATCGAAAATGAGTGTCCCTCGCCGTTGTGCCAAGTAAAAACATTAGGTGTCTCAAGGCCATATCTCAATCGGCATCCTCGTGCACACAAAAATTAATTAAAGAAAAGATCAGGCGATTATGAAAGTGGGTTAAATATGGAAGACATGTTTCGTTTACATTGCAAAGTCGCCCAAGTAGAGGTATATACAGGGTGAGATAAAAAAACTGCAACAAAGTCCAACGTCATAATTTTTACAATTTTGTAATTTTTTGAATGAATCGGTCAACTTTGGTACAAATTATGACCTTCAAACGGCCAATGATACCGTCACACGCTGCCCGAAGGTTGCTCTGCGATATTTTGGTCCATTCCCGGCGAAGCGCTTGCTTGAGGTGATCGACACTTTGGTATTTTTTAGTGCCAAACTTGCTTTCCAAAATATTCCAGACACAATAGTCCAACGGATTGGTATCCGGAGATTTTGGCCATTGTGCGCTGGAAATGAAGCGAGGAACCTCATTATGTAACCATTCTTGGGTAACGCTTGAATTCCATCACATATAACTTTTTTTCTAGAAAATTCTCACCAAAATGCTTTTGTACGCTTGTAAACAATATAATGAGCTGTAACTGGAATAATTTTAACAGCGGTCGGACGAGTGGCTTAGAAATGACAGCAGTCTGAAGTTGGTTGCAGTTTTTTCATCTCATCCAGTATATATCAAATTTCAGGATTTCCGCTATATTCCTTCACCCAAAACCAAATTTAATAGTATTTAGTACGTTTCGTATTTCATATTTCCCAAACCTCCGGCATATCTGAATTGCAGATACCAACAGAGAATTCAATATCAACTTTGAAGATTCCAGTTATATCGCTTCACGCAATATCTCCAATATAGATACCATCAGCAATATCAAATTTCAGATTTTTGTTTCTATCGCTTCATACAATACCAAATACAGTACTATCCACCACTTTTCGTACAATTATAGTACACATTTCCGAGACCACCTCCATATTTCAGATTTCAACCAATATATGTTTTATTCCTTCCCAAAAAACGAGATTTTGCATACAACAGAAGAAGCAATCCCCATCAATTTTAGTGGAAATTTACTGAGCTCATGAAAGACATGGCCCCATATATTATTTCGATCCGATTGCAAAGCTTAAACACACCCTAATAAACGTGACGTATTTCGCACAAATTCCCATTATAAAAGTTTATGTTTTTTGCTTGGCCTGTTCTCTCCTAACTGGTTTAAATAAAACCATTTACTTCCATATTCCTCCTCGTTAATCCATTTCTTTTACATTTTCTAGATTTTCAACCAAAATATATCCCACTCCCTGTGGATGAGACTAACTCCAATGGACATTTTCAATGTTTTCAGTGGCAAGGTTCTTTCTGGAGATTGGCACAACCAACAACCGTGGAAAATTCTACATACCTAGCATTATGCCGAAATAGAGTCAAAGCGACAAAAAAACTGTCATTGGAAAATGATAAATCAACACTGTCATCGAATTTGAATATCCTCCGGTTTGTACGTTCCATTATTGGCTGCATTTTGTCACTGTTCGGTTTATTCTGTATCTTTCTAACGGCACTTTTCTACGAAAACTGGCGTCATCAGTTTTCGAATAAGCTCCTTCTCAACATAAGCGCAATTCTTTTGCTTGTCACCAGCTATTTTATGCTACTCAATATGCCAAATATTCGTGCGGCCATCGATCACGTTGAACATCCAAAGCGTTGCATAGCTGTGGGAGCATTCTTCCAGTACTCCATGTTGGTGTTGTTCTTGTGGATGTTGTTTATAGCAGTCTTGCAGTATAAGCGCTATGTTCGAGTTTTTGCAGCAAAAGTGGCCAGACATACTATAGTCGGCTATGCCTTGGCTGCATGGTGTCTCCCATTGATACCGACACTATTGGTGACATGGCTGGACTCACAGTCATATATGCGATCTCTACATGATCGCACCGAGGGTCATTTCATGTGTCATCCAAGTGGATTCAGTTGGCTTTTGGGTATATTGCTGCCCGCGTCCAGCATCATGTTAATCTGTTTTGGCATTTTTGGCTACATCCTATGGAACATACGGCGCGCATCGAAGAAATTTCATTCTACGCTGGAGCGTGATGATGTTATTCTACATGTCCACCGTTCGGCCATTTTAATTTTAGTCCTAAGTATAACATGGATTTTCGGACTACTGGGTCACATGGAAACTTTTGGCTTTTTCGAGGTATTATTTTGCTTTACATCAACGTTACAGGGTTTCTTTCTGTTTGCCTATTTTGTGGTAATGGATAAAAATGCTCGTCAATTCTGGCGAAAATATTTATGCGCTGGAAATTATACCTATAGTGTGGAATAATTATACCTATGGTGTGTGAAAATTGAAAAAAAAATAAAAAACATGTAAATATGATTTAAGGTTGAAGGGGCCTTGCGTTGTCTTTAATGCTCAATTTGCGCTCGAAGGCAAGCCGATAATGTTAACATTGGGAAGAAACAATTTAAATATATTTTGTTCATTCGAACTGTTAACCCTTTAAGGGGTAGGTTCGAAGGAGTGTACCGATAAAATCCATATTCACATCATATCTTTGTTTGAGAGAAATATTTAGATAAGTTTGAAGAGAATCATTGAAAAAAATTATGACACTTTGTAGTGTAGGGGGTGAGCAAAATGTTGAGGTATCAGAAGGATTGGGCCGATATATTCCATCTTCATACGATGTCTTTTGTTGATAGAAATACTGGGTGATGTCAAGTTTGAAAGTAATCCGATGATAACTTCGCATTTTATGAGCGTCATGGTAATTCAAAATTTTGAATCGTTGAAGTAAAGAGAGGAGTGATCTAATCGACCTTTTGTATTGGTAGAAATATTACGATAAGTCAAATTTGAATAGAATCAGATGCTTATTTATGACCGTCATGGATATTCAAAATTTGGCTAATTGACCCGTTGGTTGGGAGAGGTACCAAAAGGAGTGGCCTGATTTATTCCATAGATGGTCTGTCAGAAATTCTGACTTATATAACGTATCATACATACGTCGAAAAGTCGTAAGCCTACCAAATGATAAGAGTTTTTGACAGAAACGTGGTGGTACAAAGGCATATGGATATATGGCGGATGGATATAATAGATGGTGTGGCGCCGTTTTTTTTTTGCGATATCAGAATAACATATTTGTATAATGGATTTTTGGCATGTCGTCGGCCATCTATTTCTTGATCGATACATTAAAAGGTAATATCCAATTTGCCAAATCCTTACAGTTTTATGTCTTTGGGAGAACTCCAGCTTGAGATTTTATGCTCTCTGCAGTAACTTTGCAAGATTTTGAAGACATACACAAGGAAACTAACCTCATTAAGATCAACAAGGTTTCAATATACTGGCTAATACAGTCAACTTTCGGTACAACACTGTAGGGTGAGATAAAAAAAAACTACAACAAAGTCAAACGCCAAAATTTTTATATATTGTTTTTTAAATTTTATTAAATGAAAGCAAAAAATGTCGGAAATAGCCTCAAAATTTAGAATAAGTTAAGATTTGTTCGAATTGGTCACTAGCGCCATTGTACGCTGGAAATGAAGTGAGGGACCGCATTTTGTAACCATTCTTGGGCGGCGCCTGCTGAGTGCCGTGGTGCTGAGTCCTGTTGGAATGTCCAAGATCTGCGGACAAAATGTATGCGTGCCCAAGGCAATAATACACCCTCCAAATATTTTCGCGATAATATTCGGCATTTATTCTGATGCCACGCAATTCTTTAGCTCTTTTGAGTCTATTTTCTTTCTGTTGCGGTGTAAGTTCTTGCTCTTTTTGGAATTTCAATGGCTTTACCCCGAGCTTATTTTCAATATTTGCGTCGCAGATGTGGTATTTTAAAAAGGGAGTGAGTGACTCACTTCCAAATGCTTGCAGGGTATGACCGTTATGGCAATACTAAGCCATGACTTCTATTTTCGTGGACATCCACCACAACGAGCTTTTTTAAAGCTTTTAGACACATATGTTTTTGTTACTCTCTTTTACACACTCTCTCTGCCGTTATGTACACAACAAACTTTTGACAGTTGTCTTAGGTCCTGTCAGCCTGGCAAATTTAAACATACACACAAAACAGCTGAGCCAACTTTTCCCCCGGTTGGGTAAACACACAGATGAAAAGCGCCATTTATATAAAACTATGCTAGTCGAACAAATTCTCAGTCATAGACGGTTCTTTGAAACGAACGGAAGTAAAAGTGGCAAATAAAAACGGTGTTTAAAGTGAAAATAAAAAAGCCAAAAAAATAAAAAAAAAATCCGACGGGTCTTTTATTTGGTGTCTGCCACCAACCACATTCATTCAATACCAACAACAGCAGCAACAACACAAAGGCAAAAAATTCACACACAAACACGGTCGCGCTTGTATGTGTATCCGGGTATCATTGTCTGTGTCGTTCGTTCATTCGGTCCTTCGTATTGGCATTCTTCTTGCCTTTATACGCCAATCTGTGTTAGTGGGTTTTTGAAAACATTGTTCAGTGTTACACAGGTCGAAAGAGAGAAGAGAGTCTGTGTCAGTCAGTGTGTTTCGAATATTTCACTTTCAGTTTGGCTGGTGTCGGTAAGAAATTGTGTTCGTGTTTTTATTAAGGTCCTCTTTTTTCTGCCATCTATGGGTGTGTGTGTGTGTCTGTGTATTTATGAGCCTTTAAAGTAATAAATTATACAAAAAAAAGTAGTGAAACGAAATAATAGAAAAAGTGTCATCCGAAGAAGTAGAAGAAAATGAAAATTGTGATACGACACCGACACAGAGCAATAAATGCATGCATATCTGATATCTTGACATACCGTTAGTAAATGACCAACAACAGCAACAACTATGCCTGCCAATGGTCGTGAAGCTTTTACAGGAAACACAAAATAAAAGTTGTATATCATGCTCATGGCTAGGTACGGCAGGCGGCAAGCCAAGTTGAATGATCTATTAAATGCCAAGGAGGAAATCGCAGTGCTTGTGAAAATGTGCTCTACAAACAAAAAAGTGAAATTGTGTGTGTGTGTGTGTGTCTGTGTTTTTTAAGCGCCATTAAATCTTTATCACCGTAAATGAGGCAAAAGCAATTTTTGTTATCGACCATCCCGCCCATAAAAGTCATAAATAGAATAACCACAACAATTTCAATAAAATAACAAATGATAATAATGTGGAAACATTTTTTAAAAAGAAAATTTTAACATTTTTTCCCTACACTATATTTTTTCTGTTTGCATTTGAATCGAATTTCTGGGAAAAACAAACACTTGTTGTAAAAATACCTCGAGTATAGAATGAAGAATAATATTGCCGCCGTTGTTGTTGGTGTCACACGCCCATAATTAAAATTTACTCTTGCCACGCGGAATATCGAATGTCAGGCCAGGCAATTTAAAAGTCAATATTTCTAAGATAAATTATTTACAATGGTGGCAATTGGAAGATTATATAGATATGTTCGGTTACAGTACTAATAATCAAAAGATGTGCTTTCAAAATTTTTCATTTTTTTCTAATTATTATTTTTTTTTCTTTGGGGAGTCATAAAAAAAAGACAGAAGTCATACGTATAACTAGGAAAGTAGCATCAATTTCGATAACTGATCTAAATCTGCCGGACCGATTTTTTCTTGGGGATAACTCAAATTATCATATAAACCTGCATATTATTTTATTATTATTTTTAAGGTTTTAGCTGCAGTTTGCGCCTAATTTCCACAGGAAATCAGTAAAGAAATCTCATAAAGTGGACGGAGCAGTTATAATTTGGAATCAAAGGGATCTGGTACATGCGAGGTATAACCAACTCTGAAGCGATTTTCACCAAATTTAAAAGTGTCATTTGTACATCTCGTACCAAATAACATTGCTATATAGAGTATGAAAATACTTCGTGGAGGAAAATATTATACTAGTAAGCAAATGCTATAGCCGTGCGGGGACGACCATGTGATACCCTACGACACTATAACACAAATGTTACGTTTGTTTTTTTTTTTTTTATATCAAAGAAAAAAATAAAAATTTGGCGGTTGGCAATGTTAATCATTTAATTTGTTCCAAGTAGATTTGTTTACATCAATTTTTGAATATGATATCTCTCAAATGGCCGCCTCGCCCTTTTTGCTGCATTTTCCATCTTTTTTGCCAACATTTCGGCCGGAATAGCGGCTATTTCTTCACGAATGTTGTCCTTGAGCTCTTCTACGGTCTCTTAACGTAAACCTTTGACTTCAAATATCCCCACAAGAAGAAGTCAGGCGGCGTCAAATCGGGCGAACCCGGTGGCCAGTCCAAATCACCACTTTTAGACATCAAACGGTCCGGAAACAAATTCTTCAGAAAATCGCATTGTGTGCGGTGGAGCGCCACCTTGTTGAAACCAGAACTGCCTCATACGCTTTCGACGAATAATTGGCATCACAAAATTGGTCATCATGCGATAACGCTCCTGATAACGCCGCACCAAACTGTGACTTTTTCGTCAAGAAGAGGCACTTTTTGAATCTCCTGAGGATTTTCAGTGGCGTAAAAACGGCAATTTTGCTTATTTACGGTCCCATTCAATGTGAAATGGGCTTCATCGGACATTATAATTTTGTTCCAAAATTGCTCGTCATCAATTGAATTTTGTACGGGAACAAATGCAAATCAATGCGAATAATCCGTTGTAAAGTGGACCGAGCCATGCCCAACTGCTGAGAACGGCGTTTTGGGGATTTTCATGGGGACCTCTCAACACTGGCTCGTACGGCAGCGATTCTGGTTTTGGAGAAGTAGGACTCTTCGAAGTAAATATTCCATATATGTCCATGTTTCGAAGTAGCGCCCATATAGATTTATCTCCTAATTAAGGTATTTCAAAATTTTTATACCCTACACCACAAGGTGGTCAGGGTATTATGTCTTTGTGCATTTGTTTGTAACAGGCAAAAGGGTCTATCTCCCATAGTTCCTTTTGATGATCTGCGTAGAATCACTTTCTGAGTTGATTTATGCATGTCAGTCCGTCTGTCCGTCCGTCCGTCCGTCCGTCTGTCCATGTATTCTTGTGAACAAAATGCAGGTCGAATTTATTATCCGATTGAGATGAAATTTTGCAAACAACATTTGTTTGGCTCGAGGACGAACCCTATTGAAATTGGAGATAATCGGTAAAAATTTAGATACAGCTCCCATATATATCTTCGTCCGATTTGCTTTTTATTGTGCACCAAACGTATAATATCAGTCCGAATAGTATGGAATTTTGCACATACAACCAAATTAGGCCTGAAAATAAGTACGCCAAATTTTATCGAAATCGGTTCAGATATAGCTATAGCTCCCATATATATTTTTCATCCGATTTGTTATTTTTCTCCTCCGCAGCCGTAATATGCACTCTGTAACAACAATATTTGGTGAAATATATCAAATGCAGCTCAGAAATTCCTTTACTAAATTTTATCGAGATCGGTTCAGATTTGGATATAGCTCCCATATATAACTTCGTCCGATTTACCTTTGATTGTGCACCAAACGTGTAATATTTGCCCAAATGGAATGGAATTTGGCACTTATGACCGAATCGAGTCTAGAAGGTAGTATGCCAAATTTGGTGAAGATCGGTTCAGATATAGCTATAGCTTCCATATATATTATTCATCCGATTTGTTATATTTGTTACCCACAACCGTAATATGCACTCCGTAACAACGATATTCAGGGAAATATATCAAATACAGCTCAGAAATATCTTTTTTTTTATTTTTATCCGATTTCAAATTAGTTTCGCACCAAATGGGCAATACAGGTCCGAATTTAAAAGATACAAATGCTTCGGCACATTTAGTCCTTTGAATTTTAAATTATAATTATAATCATAGCGTGTATGATTGAATTCTCCTATAAAAATTTTAATTATTAAGTGGAGCTCAACTAAATTAGCAAAGTGGTGTAGGGTATCGTAAAATCGGCGCCGCCCGACTTTAGGACTTTCTTTACTGGTTTTTGTTGCAAAATGGTCAGGCTTAATCCTTTTATTGTTGTTTTTATAAATCAAAGTTTGTTTATTAGTGGAGAACGATGGTAATGTTTACCAGGGGGTAAGGCAGGGAATACCTCGGTTTCGGAAAGAGCCACGAATCCTCATCAGTTCCCTTGTTTTTTGTCTGGGATATTCTCCCCCACAATACCTTCTATGAAAAAAAATTTACCAAGTGACGAAATCGTAAGCTCAACAGAAGAGGAACCAAAGAATTAAATAAAACTAAAATTGTTATGGAAAATCTTCTAAATCTTACAACCGCACATATAAACGTTTACATATTTCTCCACTTGTTATGCTTTCGTTCTACCTGAACGAAGAAGCATAACCATATAAGTTGGTTTTGCCTGTTACAACAAAAACCCCTTCGGCAACCATGCCTTGTTATACCCTCCACCATACATAGTATTGAGGGTATATTAAGTTCGTCATTCCATTTGTAACTCATCGAAATAATAATCTTAGACCCAACAACATATATACATTCTTAATCAGCGTAAAATTCTAAGACGATTTAGCCCTGTCCGTCTGTTGTAATCAGGCTACAGTCAAAACGAATTAAGATAGGAAGCTAAAATTGTGCACAGGTCTGTCTTTTGCCTGCAGGCAGGTCAAGTTCGAAGATGGGCTATATCGGTCTACGATATCGTATAGCCCCCATATAACGGTACCCCCGATATTCGGTATTTTGATGATTTTAGCCACATTTTTAAGGGAATTGTCTGAAATTCTACACAAAGAGTTCCTTTTAAGCACTTTATCCATTGAAAGAGAACTGTCTATATAGGTCCACGATTTCGTATACCCACCATATAACGGTACCCCCTGATGTTCAGTATTTTGGGGATTTTATCCACATTTTTCACTCACATTGCCTGAAATTCCACACAAGGAGTTCCTTGTGAGTACTTTACAACCTGAAAGAGAATTGTCTACATAGGTCCACGATATCGTATAGCCCCCATATAACGGTACCCCCGATATTCGGTATGTTGATGATTTTAACCACATTTTTAAATACAATTGTCTGAAATTCTTCACAAGGAGTTCCTTGTGAGCACTTTACCCCCTGAAAGAGAATTGTCTATATAGGTTCACGATATCGTATAGCCTCCAATATAACGGTACCCCCCATATTCGGTATGATGATGATTTAACCACATTTTTCAACGGAATTGTCTGAAATTCCACATAAGGAGTTCCTTGTGAGCACTTTACCTCCTGAAAGAGAATTTTCTATATAAGTCCACGATATCGTATAGCCACCATATAACGGTACCCCCGATATTCGGGGGTATATCTATATAAGTCCACGATATCGTATAGCCACCATATAACGGTACCCCCTGGTATTCAGTATTATGGTGATTTTATCCACATTTGTCACTGTTATTGCCTGAAATTCCACACAAGGAGTTCCTTGTGAGTACTTTACCCTCTGAAAGAGAATTGTCAACATAGGTCCACGATATCGTATAGCCCCCATATAACGGTACCCCCGATATTCGATATTTTAATTATAAAAAATTCTAAGACAATTTAGGCCTGTCCGTCC